TCCAGTCAGTTGGCCAAGTGGTTGTTCTCCAGATTTCTTGGCACAACTTGGTGAGCACGTCCAGGGCAGCATCTGTTAACTGAAATATGTCAGTTGGTATGCCATCTATTCCTGGAACCTTATTTTTTTGCCATTTCCTTCAAAGCAGCCTGAACTTCAAAGTTTGTACACATTGTTTTTCACACCAGATCTTTCCCATTTTCTTCACTTACTGCTCCCTCCACCCATCAGATTGTGTGACCCTATGATTAACAATTCCTGCTCTTCGCCTGTCCTCACCCCTGTGGCCCCCCTTGGATCCTCATACTTGTACCAGAGATACTTTTAAAGAATTTAAATTTCTTTAGCTGATATATTTGTTGATATATCTATGGGTTATTTTGAAGATTAAAGAAGTTAATTGATATAAAAAGCTTAGAGCAGTGTCCAGTATAAAGTAATTATAGTAATGATTATTGGTTCTATTTAATTAAAGTGTGCTATTTATTTGCCTCTGGTTTAAAATCAGTCTTTTAGATTTATATAAGCGCTGTACCAGACTTTGTGGCTGCCATTTTTAAACTTCATTTGCCAAAATACCTAGGAGTCTGTGTTCTCAATTCTCTTGTGTCACCCTTGTCTGTCCTTATACCACTCTTAAAATCCTGTTGTGATTCCTTCAGGACTATCCCTAGTTTATCCCCTTTTGGCTGCTGTGTCAGGTAGCATGACACGTAGGTAATATGTCCCTTGAAGGGACATACAAGCCAGAAGAGGGTTCTAAAAGGATCCTTGTGGAATAATGGTTAAGCAGTTGGCAGCTAGCTGACATCTTGACTGTTTGAACCCACCCAGCATGTCTGAAGCGAGCTCTGATGACCTGGCTTATAGGGAGTTATACTGTTTATTTGTTTCATTCGCAATTGGTTGTAACCTGATTGGATTTGCCTTGTATTTAAAAGGCAGTTGGTCGCTAGTGTGGGGCTGGTATCCAGTTCGGAAGATGTGTGGAACAGCTGCATTCTACAAAGGTGTGTATTTTTGTTTTGATTGAGACTTGGATGTGGACTGGTTGCTTGTTTGTTTAGTTCACCATTGGGTATGAGCTGATTGGATTTGCCTTGTATTTAAAAGGCATTTGGGCTCTTGGGCCTGGTTTTTAAATGATTTTCAGGTCAAACTTTCTTCTAAGTAGTATAACACTGGTCTGTCAATTTGCTATATAGAGCTAACTAGTGGTTGTTGTGATGCTAAACACTGTGATGCTAAACACTGTGACACTAATGTGTCAAATGCGATAATGGTTACCGTTGTTGGACAGTGTTTGGTGGAGCTCCCAGATTAAAACAGGATTGGAAGCTGGAGTGGCATTCACTTCCAAAATAGCTTGGCTCCAGAAACTCTAGAAACTTAGAGAAATGATGATAGTTAAAAGAATTAGGTTCAGGTGTTTCATAGGGTCACTATTAGTCATCTATGACTCTGTGGCACTTAACAACAACAACAACAACAACAACAACACTGCTAACCAAAAGTCTGTGTGTCTCTAGTGGTTTGAATTAACCAACTTCTCCAAGGGAGAAAGATGAGAAGTCTCCTACTGTGTAATTTACATCCTTGGAAACCTTCTGGAAAGTGAGCTGTGAGTAGACTCTGACTAAATAGAGATGAACTTGAGGATTGTTTTTTTTAGCAGCTCTGGGAAGAAAGAATTGAACACTTGAGTTGAAGCTGACTTGTAACTGAGTCTCTTGGGTTTCTGAGGCCATAACTCACAAGAGAGGAGATTGCCCATCTTCATCTTCTGGAACTGCTGGTGGATTTGAACACCCAGAGAGGTGTGGCCTTGGGTTAGCAGCACAGCTCATTATGGGCTGTGCCACCAGAGCTATCTTGGAGAATGAACTGTTTTAGTAAAGATTATAGTGGAGAGAATCTGATGGGGCAACTCCACTCTTTTCCAAGGGATTTTTAATTGGAATCAACCTGATGGCACACAGCAACAACAAAGGGCTACCAACAAGAATAAATTTAATGTAAACATGTAAAAAAAAAAAAACCCCAACTTTTAAAGGGTTGTTTGGGAATACATAATTTCTACTTTCTGAATTCAAATCAAGTACAAAGTCTCTGTAGGAAAAAAATTGGAGTATGGTTACCTGACTAAATGTTCAGAATCAATATCAATGGTAATTTTATAAAATGTAAAGGGATATAGTCTGGCTATGGTAGCTAAATAAGACAAACATAAATAGAAGAAAATTTAAGAGTTGATTCCTAATTTTTAATGCAGTTATTACTTTGCTATAGTATTTAGTACACTCAGTGGAATAGTCATGCTTGTGGTAAAGTTTGTCAGGCTGGTTTTCCTATCTTGACTTCCTAAATATTTATAACCATGTACCAAGGACCATGGAGTGACGTGGCTGGAAGAATGGAGGAAAGATAGATTGGGAGTTTCTGGGCAGGAAATGTGAATTGGCAGGGAAGAAAATGTTCCACTCTTAACATCTACACACACACAACTAGTAGGGAAGCTTTGATTGTGTGCACTTTATGGATTATTTTACATAAGATTAGAACATTTTATTAATTTATAAAAATATTTCAGAACACCTATGCTAGAGATTAGATTTCTGGGACAGGAGTTTACTATTGCTGGTGCCTAGCATATATACTGGCTAAGTAAATGCTCTTCAAACTATGTTTGCCTCGCACAACATAGTGTTCCTTTTTAGTCTTCAGATTAGATTTTACTCAATTTTATGATGCAATTATAACCTAGTAAATGGATTAAAATGGGAATGTTTTATTGCCAATACTACTGGATATTAAAAAGTTCTTAAGGATTATTTCTGTTAGCTATGAAATAATCCTGTGAGGTTACTGGTATGATTTCAGGTATATTGTTATGTTTTTGCTCCTAAGATGGAATCAGAGGGTTTTATTTGGTCTTATAAGATCTGAAACTATATATTCTGAATATGGTAACTATAAAAGACACACAGAAGAAAATTTAGAGGAGTTTTAATTCCTAGTTTTAAACGATGTTATTTTACTATAGTATATTAATTACTA